AAGATGTTGAACTGTTTTAACTTTCAATACATTAACAAGTGTGTAACAAAGACCTATTTTAAATCTTGTTGTCGAAACTGATTATACTCAAGTAGGATGTGAGTACAGCCCATTGATTTGGTCCTGAATTCGATGGGTTCTAGTCGTCCCACTACGGAATATTTCCAAATGTTCGAACCTTTTTGAACTGATATCTGTTCATAAGTACACCTAAGTGAGCTACACAAAGCCTTGAAATGGTTTGTGCACATGAGCGTCCCTTGTGGAGTTCTATGAACAATGTTAACTACATTATACTAGATTTTTCAGTCTCCTTCATTTTAATAGTCCTCAAAAGGCACTTTCCATTATATTCCACTGTATGGAAAATACTCGAACAATATACAACTCGGCTAGGAACGCCCATGGGCACAAACATTTTGATGGTTTTTATAGCTCACCAAGGGCTACTTCTCTAAAAAGTAAAAATCTGGAAAAAGTATCTCGTATCTTTGAGACGACTATTCGATTTCGATTAGAAAATTTCATTGAGAGTACCGAATTTCGGGCTCGAAAGATTCGGCTCGGACAGTTCTCAGGCTGCGTGAACAATAGATATATGTCGCATCAAAATCCTCAAATGAAGTTGAGACAAATCAGTTAGAGACCAAGTTGAAGAGGATGCCATTTTTCTGTAATTCAAAATATAAATATAACTTTCAAAACAAAACTTCTTTATAATTATTAATATTTTATTTAAGGTTTGGTATAATAATAAAGGATGGCCATCAAGTATAGCATTTTTGAATGTATTTAATAATGCATTATTACGTGGTATAATTCTTGAAAAAAAACCTTCAATATCAATTGATGATTATGGTATAACAGCCATAAGTCATCCATTACCACAAACAGAAATTCAAATTGACAGTGAATTACAAAATCGTATTGCTATGGAAATGTTTACAGCCATATGTGTTATATTTGCATTAGCATTTACTCCTGCAAGTTTTCTTGTTTTTCTTATTGATGAACACGTAACAACATCGAAACATTTACAATTTGTTAGTGGTGTTAAAGGTAATTAATTGTTAAAATTAATAGCCCAAAAAAAAACAAATAAATCATCTGTTATCTTATATTTGCTTTTTTTTCATTATGTTTAGGTATAACTTATTGGTCGGCAAATTTTCTTTGGGATTTAACAAATTATTGTATATCAATAGCATTTTGTTTAATTATATTTCTTGGTTTTGGTATTGAAGCATATGTATATAAAATGAATTTTCTATGTTTATTCTTATTATTATTTTTATATGGTTTTGCAATAATACCAATAATGTATCCAATAAATTATTTATTTCGTTCACCAGCAACTGGTTTTGTTGTTATATCATCAATTAATATATTTATTGGTTTAATGACAACAATAGCAACTGTTACAATAGAAACTTTTCCAGATGACGAAGATTTACGAAAAGTCAATAATATTTTAACAAAAGTATTTTTAATATTTCCACATTATTGTCTTGGACGAGGTTTATTTGATTTAAGTAAAACTCATGCAACCAATGTACTCAGTCTTAAATATAGTCAGTTTTTCTTCTTTTTTTAAGTCTGTAGATTTTCACAATGATTCTCGTTTTTTTTGCAGATCCGGATTATGTTCCGAAATCGCCATTTAAGTTTGATATTGTTGGCAGAAATCTTTTATGTTTATTTATTGAAGGTATTATATTTTTTATATTTACGATACTTGTTCAATATCGATTTTTTATTCCTGAACGGTCAGTATTGCAGTTTAATATTTTTATAGAATGTTTTGTTTTCTGTTTTAATATTTAGTGGCTGTGTTAGTACACCAAAAAGTTTGATATCACCAAATGAAGATGATGATGTAGCTGCTGAACGACAAAGAATTTATTCTGATCGTAAAAATTTAAGTGGAGATGTTTTAAGAATGATAGATTTAGTTAAAGTATGAATATGAAAGGATAAGAAAAAAACGAACAAAAGAAATATTTCTGTTTTTTTTTATTCATAGATTTATGGATGGATATTTGGAAAAAAATTTACAGCTGTTAAAAAAACATGTGTTGGTGTTAAGCAAGGTGAATGCTTTGGTTTATTAGGTATAAATGGTTCAGGAAAATCGACAACATTTAAAATGTTAACTGGAGAAATTTCAATGACCGATGGTGATGCATTGGTTAATAATTATAGTGTTATTAAACAATTAAGTGCAATTCATCGAAATATAGGGTATAGAAACAAAGAACAAGAAGAATGGTTTTTTTTCTATCTAATAGAATCTATTTTTTAGTTATTGTCCACAGTTTGATGCACTGGATTCTTTATTAACAGCACGCGAACATCTTTATCTTTATGCTCGTTTACGTGGCATTAAAAGAAAAAATATTGCTTTTGTAAGTTTACTTTTTTATCATACTCGCTTAGACGTACTCATAGCAGAAGTTTATCAATGATATTAAACTTTTGAGCAGTATTCATATAGGAATTAAGATTAATATTTTATTTATATGGCTAAGCTAGCATAATCTCTGACAAATATACATGTACCTATAGATAACTTCCTATTCAAGCGATTTAATTGATTCTTTTATGTATGTTTAAGTATAGAAGTAGAAATTTGCCCTCGTTACACTTTCCATAGACCGTGATGGATATCTTGCAATCCATCATCGATCATCACGAACGTTGTTCATATACGATCAATGACCGTATATAAGTAAAAACTCCATTCTAAGGACAACAATGCACCTCATACGATTTTAATGAACGGTATTCAGTCATAATTCGGTGCACTGTCATTCGTGAAATGGAGCAGATTATTGTAACAGCTCGAACCCTTGATTGTGTTTCAATTTCATAAACATGATAAACTTTGTTGACTTTTTACTGTGTAGGTTTCGATGATCTTCTTCTGTCTGTATGAGTTTCACATAAGGGTTCAAATATAATTTTGATGCAATCTTCACTTGGTATGTTTTTGCAAATGTATATTAGCACAAATATGTGTCTGATAATAAACAGAAAAAAAAATTTAAAAAGCATACTAATATTTTATCGAAAAAAGTCAATTAAATTGCTTGAGTTATGTAAAAGAAAGTTATGTTAATCTTCTCCCAACAGACGTTTGACACGCCCTATACATTAAGCAATTGAAGCGAAAGGATAAAAAAGCCTTCTCTTATAGATTACTGATTGTCTATTAAAACGACTTGGTCTTACATTATGGGCTGATCGACCAGTAAAACAATATTCTGGTGGTAATAAACGTAAATTATCAACAGCTATTTCACTTATTGGTAATCCATCAATTATTTTTATGGATGTAAGTTTCATATTAAGAAACAATATTTTCTATAAAAGAAAAAAATAAAATTAATCATCATTCTTAGGAACCAACAACTGGAATGGATGTACGTGCAAAAAGATTTCTATGGAATTGTATATTAACCTTAACACGTAAAGATCATAAATCAGTTATAATAACATCTCATTCAATGGAAGAATGTGAAACATTATGCAATCGTATGAATATGTAATTCCTTCGTGAAGATATTTGTTTTTTTTTTCTTCTTTGTATAGGTCTTGTTATTATGGTTAGTGGAGAATTTAAATGTCTTGGTAGTGTACAACATTTAAAAACAAAGTAAATCTAAATGATTGGTTTTTTTTCTTATGAAAAGCTTTTTTGTTTATTTTAATTTGAAGATTTGGTGATGGTTATACAATACTTGTTCGAACAGAAATAAATAGTGATACAAAGAGTGCAATTAATTATATAAAAGAACGGATACCTGAAGCTGATGTTAAAGAAGAACATAATAAAATGATACATTTTCGTGTATCAACAAGTGTTCCATTACATAAAATGTTTAGTGTTTTAGAACAAGCACGTGAAGATTTAAAAAGTATCATTGAAGATTATACAGTTACACAAGTAACACTTGATGATGTCTTTGTTAATTTTGCTAAAATACAAGAAGAAAATCAAGCATTAGAACAAAGCAATAATACCAATATAAATGAAGATAATTGTTTAAAAAGAAATTTTCTTTATAAATTATTTTCTAGAAAAAATAAAAATATCATTGGTATGCTTTTTGTAATATAATATAATTTATTGAGATTTCTTATTATTTTTTTTTTTTTGTTGTAGAATTAACTAAACTTTAGTTTTCAACTCATAATGGTATGTATATAAGAATGATTTATTTATTTTCATGAGATCTAATTCAGTTCATATTTGGATTTTTGTTGGTTCTTGTCATACTTTGAAGAATTGCAGAAAAAGAACTTTCAAGAATATTTTAAAATTCTCTTTGAAGTGTTACTTTTTTACTCGAGGGTATATATATAATCATCGAAACATTAACAGTAATAATATTTCTATGATGAGCATTGACTCATTCCATTGTTTAATATTTTGTTTAATCAAATAAATGAATATATTCTATTTGTTTAGGCATATGATGTATTCATTCGATGCGAAGTATTCGAGCAAAGTTTTCTTTGTGTTTGTTTGTTTTTCCAAGTTGTTATCATAGCGATATAAAACTTCGGTGACCTTTTCTTTATGTATTTATTTTCGTGGCTATGTATCTGTGATATTTAAATATTTTCGTCTATTTTTTTTATCTACATAGTTGGCTCTTTTTGGTATTTAATTGGATGTTCCGGTGACAAGAAATATATTTTGTTCCATTCTATTAACTTTCTTTTATGTAGCTAAATTATTTTGTGTTATTTTTGTTAAAAATTCAAAAAAAAAAGGTTTTTTTTTCTCGAGTTACAATTATCTCTTAATTATTCATGTGGCTTTTGTTTTCATATATTTTTTCTTGTTTAATTATAAAATGTTCTTGACAAAAGAAACAAAATTAAGTCAATCATTATTCTTTTTATTTGTTTTCGATTTGTTGGTAACCACACGCACATTTGAAGTGTTATTTTTACAATTAAAAATTTTACTCAATAGCTAATATGTTCGATAGTTATTGTTTTCGTGCCAAATCCCGTATGAATCGTTTTCGACCACTCAATGGACTCATGCAACAAAAACGACCTAATAAAAAAATATTAAAAAAAGAAAAGTAAAAATTATGATTAATTTAATATAAAAATATATTATACGTTGTACTGTCGGTTTCAATAATGATTCTAAATCATTTTCATTGAATGAAGAATGTTCTTAAAAAAAATAATAAATTTTAATTTAAAAGCGAAGCTTTATGATATATTCCATTTTACCTGGGGTTGCCATATAGTTCGTTATCAATTGCTCAATTGCATCTTGTTGTAAATTTTCAAGTTGATTCTAAATATTAAAAACTAAACAATGAGAATATTTATTAATTTTTTGTTAAAAAGAAAAATGAGAACAAAAATCATAGATGTTTTATCGTCTTTTGTTTTCTTCGTTCAATTCAATTAGCCTTGATCAAGAAACAATGGAAGCGTCTTGCATATATATATAAAATTTATTTATCAAATTAATAGAACTTAATCGTTTTTCAACACGAGAGACAAGGCCGATGTCTGTTTTGTTTTCTAAGTTTCACAAGGCCGGAAACGATTACCCATTGAAGTATATAGCACGGTTATATATTCATGTTAAATCGTAATAAAAACTAAAGAAAATCATCTTTTCTTTGATATTAGTAGATCGAAAACAAAAACGAAAACCTTGTTTTCTTTTCTTAAAGATAATTTTTCCTAGAAATGAAAAAAATAATCATCTTATACCTGATATTGATCATCATGTACGATTGCAAATGAATGAATAAAAAGAAGCTTATTGCTGATAAGAATAAATAATAATATATAGACTGATGCCATCGATGAATTGAAGTTTTTTCTTCCAATACCAAACATATTAACTGATATTGTATGCTTTATCAATGATAGTAATGCGAAAAGACAGGCGTGAAAATCGACTTCTCTCAAATGAGCTTACAGATGTGAGTATGACTCGGGTCAAAAAGTATTGACTGAATGGATGTTATGAACTGCTCTTTAAACAGCGGCAAAAGGAAAGAACATAACAAACGATAAATCTTCTATTGATTAGAAAATAGATAGCGAGAGAGGAAGTGAGAGTGGAATAAGAACAAAGAGAGAGTGAGTGTGTAAGAAAAAAAATAGGAAATAAGCAAAATCAACTTGTCGCTTTTTTTTTCTCAAGCCACAATAATTTTATCTAGACAGCTAATTTGATATCAATGGATCTTGTTTGGCAAAAAAAACTAGAAGAAACAAGAAACATGTATAACTTTTTTCTACATCAAAGTGCATGCGTAATATAATGTGAGAGCAACTCATCTGTTCGAGTACTTGTTTACCGAAAAAAAAATTATTATAGACGCATTTTCCGCTTTGAAAGTCCTTAAGTTATATCAAATTAATGAATTTCTTATTAATATACATCTTAAGTCTAGTTTTCGTAGTATGCTGACGTGTACTATACATTACAATGGAATATTTCGTATTGAATAAATTCTCAGATGAATGAATGATATAATTATTGATTATTCTATATTTTCATGTTCTTTTTAATAATCATCGTTTATATATGGTCAATCTTAAATTGAGGAACAAATCAAACTTCATTAAACTTTGCTTGTCTAAATGAAATAGAGAATATATGTCACTGAAATGAATAGATAAAGTATTGAATATCGTTTGTTTTCTTCGTTTAACAAATCGAGTCATTCCTATGATTGTCTATGAAAAGACTTATTGTTCTTGTTGTTTATATCAAGATCGGATCATCTAATTTTTTTCTTAAAAGAAATCAAAATACAAAAGAAATAAATTGGCAATCCAATGAATCAATTATCCTAGAATATGATTTACTAAATTGATATAAAAACTGTATAATCATAATAGTAATTATTATATTAAAGCATTAGAAAAAAAAATAGAATATATATAATGATGTTCTTTCTTTCTTTATTTTTATTTTTATTTTTATTTTTATTTTTATAACAAAAAATTAATACCAACATTGAACATTTTCTTTTGGTACACATCGTTTTAGACTCAATGCAAATGATGAATCAGATGGACATTCATAACGACTTTTGCTTGAGCAATCTGTAAAGAAACGACACATTGAATCACTTACGAAAGATGATGGATCCCAACAATTAGTTGATGCTATTGGTGCTGCTGGAATTCGCACTAATAAAAAATAAAAATAAAAACACGACGAAATATAAAAAGATTAAAAACAAAATGAGTAATGCACTCTTACATTTTGTTGAACATTTTATTTGAACATCACTTAATTCTTTTTCTTTCATACATCTCTTTTTATCTTCAGAATAAATGAGTGGTGTAGGACATTTTCGTGATACAGTTATCTGCTTGCCACTAGGTGTTATCAGACATTCATAATAACTTTGACAATCATTTGAGACATTTGCATAAATTTGCTTTTCTTTTGCTAAATTAAAAAAAAAAATTCTTTTTGATTATATGTTAAAAATCAACACTGTCTACGATTTTAAATATACTATTAATTGTAAATGAATAGCTTCATTCAGATGTTTTTATCTTTTAGCATAGAAGTGTAGATGTCTTCTTATTTGAAAATAAAATTTTGAAAACTGTTTATGAATTTGTTTTTTTTCAAAGATTATAATCCAGAGATAATTTAGCATGTTCGAAGCTTTCAAAAAATTGTTTTAGATATTGAAACTATGTTGTTTATATAAAATCAAGAATAATAGCAAATAGATATAGAACAGTATTCATTTTTTGATAAGTATTCTAGCATTATGATGATCCAAAAATTCATCAAGGAACATTTCCACACGTTCGCATCCTTTTTAACTGATATTTTACCCATAAGTAGGCTTTGCTGAGCTATGAAATCTCCAAAAAGGGTACCCATGAGCGTCCCTTATCGAATTCTAAATTGTTCGATTTTTTTCCCATAAACATGATAGTAATGGCAAATGCTTTTTCGTGACTATTTACAGGATTTTTGGTTTTCATCGCTCATATAACTTCGAAGAGTGCTCTTTCAAATGTCATATAATTGAGGGGTCTTCGCTATTAGATATTATTATTATTAAGCCTAACTCTCGAAATATCTAGCAGAGAATCTCGCACTGTGATTATTTTTTATGCGTAAAACTTTCCTAATTATAATTACTATTTCTCATTCTAAAGATGTTGAAAGCATCGCCCATGGGCCTCTAACATCACCAGATTCTGATCATTTGAGTTAGAAAAAAAGACATCTTGGTATATAGAGAAAAATTCTTTTGTTTTGCTTTTCTCGAAACCAATTTTTGCACAACAAAAGTACAGAGTCGTCTCCGTTTCTTCGACTTAGTATGTTCGAGCGAACTGAAACTTTTTTATAGATATTGAATACAATTTTGGTGCCGAAGTTCTTTTTGTTTTGAAACATATTGTTCCGTCAATTTTTGGTGGATTTTACACAAAAACATGTATTATTGAAGTTAAAAGCAGTATTTTGCTCTTTGTTTTTAATCGAATGGAAGAAGATTAAAAAAAGTGAGGCATCCCAACCAGTGTCTAGTGTCTGTAGAAAAAAATCAAGCTATGTCGGATGTAGTTAGGTCTACTCAAAACTCAACTAGAAGCTCACATAAACATAAACCTTTTGGAGACTTTTGATGACTCATCAAAGCCTTTTTCTGAGCAAAATATCAGCTGCAACGGATGCGGAGATCTGAAAATATTCCTTCTGGAGAGAAAACTAGTAATGAACTTTGAATAACGAACAGTTTTAATTTATAGTATAAGAAAAATAGAACAATATCTTTAACGTATTTTTTAACATGAGCAACATGCTTATACTTACAATATAGACAATACACTGCTGCCGTATCTGTTTGATCAGGTTTTGGTGTAGTTGTATATGTAGTGTGTGTTGTCATTGTGGGTGTAGTACGCGTTATCGGGGGTTTTGTTGATGGCCCTTTTCCATTGACAATATCTTTCGCCGTATTAATTAATGGATACTTTCCTTCACCGCATTGTTCACCACGAAAATCATCTAAATCCATTGTCCAAAACATAGCTCCACCTAAATTCATTTCGTTGACATATTCAGCCTATTTAATCGAATAATAATAACAATATTATTGAAATTCAAAAAAAAAGGATGGAGTGTGCAATAGGATTATAAACTATTCGAGCCGTTGAAGTCAACCAATCGATGCAGGCAAAACTGCACAGCATAGATTTTTCATTGCCAAATGAAAAACTCTATAGTTTATATTTACATGGCAGATCTGAAGACAGCGATAAGCAAACTTTTTTGAGCATCTTGGATTTACCTGGACTAATCTACTGATGCCTGAAGTATATTCAAAGCTTACTATACAAGTTGAAGTAGTAAAATAACTCTCCTTGAAGAGCTATTGAGAATCTTTTTTTTTTCGCTTATATTTTCTCCACTTTGACTGGACTTTTCCTTTATACGCCAAGCTAAGAAAGAAGTATTTTGAAGAAAGTTCAGAGCAGCCATTCCTCTGATTCACCATGTTTAATTTGTAAATCCGGTGAAATTTCTCTCATTGTCAAACAAAATATCTCAAAGAGATTAAATAATCTGCGCGCATCTGATTTTGGCTCTAATGTTTTAGAGTATATATTTCTTGGAAGGCATAGTTATCATAAACTTGCTAATGTCGATGTTAGTCACTTCGTTTCAATGAAGTGGCCCTAAAAATTAAAAGCGCAATACCATTTACTGTTCCTAGTCTGGTTAGAATTCCTTAGAGTCATACCTTTCTCTCATAACAATAGTCTTCAGATATCAGCAGAACCCATAATTCTAGTTGTGACTCATCCTTCTAGTTCTTTCTATTCTATTTCCTTCACTGTGTTTTTCAGCATACGGTGTCTGTCTTTTCCCTTTCTTTGGATTTATCATTTTTTTTCCATGCAGGTTCTTATAAAAGTGTCCCAATAAAATATAGCTTAAGCCACAAGAGAGAAAAATCCGGTAGATATCTTACTTTAAGAGCAATACTTTCTGTATCATCATAACCAACCCAATTCGAACCAGAGTAGGCATATGGTACTTTATGTTGATCCGACCATTCTTTTTTCCATCCTAGAGAAAAAATTCGATACATTAACATATTCTCTTTCATTATTGAACAAGCTAACCTTCCTTAAGTTTTTGACATACTTCATAATAACTCATAAAACCACTTTCTCCTGTGTATGCACCAGCCATGGCACCACCACCAAGAGTAGGAGAACCTAATTTAAACAAAATAAAAACAAACATGTAAATACAATGCTTATTTCTTTCTACCAATTGCTGTCGCTGAAGGATTAGCAAGTTGATGAGTTCGTCTGTAAGTAATGTATAAAAGAGCATTTTGTTTTAAAATAAAATAATCTTTAAGCCTATTTACCCATATGCACCCATGCCTAAATTTAACTTATCCGGTGTACAACCTGGTTTTTTTAACATGTGTTCAACAGTTTGTTTTTGACTTGTTAATGGACTATTATGTCCAGCAATAGTTTCCCATTGACCAGTATAATCGTATGTCATCATATTAATAAAATCTAAATGTCTAAAATATGTTTCATATGCAAAATCAATTAAATATATAATTGATTAAATTTTTTACTTGCAAATTTCAGGTTCATAGCTACCATCATATCTCCAAGGTGTTGCTGGTGTTGCAGCTGATAATAAAAGACCCTCAGGTTTATATTTTTTACTTAATTGCTAATTGAAAAAAAAATCTACTTTTAGAAATTTTCACTATTTAATATATTATTTATTTTGTCACCTCAACTAATTGTGTAAATCGCTGTCGATCTTCAGGTGGACTACCACGATCAGCTGGATATTCCCAATCTATAAAACAAAACAGTTAAATTAATATTAAACTATAATTTTTATTTTTTTATTTACCAAGATCAAGACCATCAAACCCATATTGTTTAATAAGGTTATATGAATTTTCAACAAATTCTTGTCGTGATTGTTCTGTAGCAACCATTCGTGTAAATGGTTCTGATCCATGATTCCAACCACCGACTGCAAGCATGACTTTTAAGTCAGGATTTTTCTCTTTCAATGCAATGATTTGTTTATAATTTTCTATAAACAAAATAATAAAAAGGACTCGAAGTTTTTCATATGAATATTTTGATTACAAACCAGGATCGCTTCCCTCAGTTGTTCCTAAACCATTTCCTCGAACACTTGCAAATGAATATATAATATGTGTACATAAATTAGGATCAATATCTTGAACAGAAAATCGTCCAGCACTTGGTCGATAACCCGACCAATTGGTATAGTAACACAGAACCCGTTTTCCATAACCTAAAGAACAATTCGATCAAAGTAAGAAAATCATTTTCATATAAAATACCTTCATTTATTGTCAGGAATAATAGTGCAGACAATAGGCTGAATAACATCAAAGAAATCTTTGATAATATATGTATGTATGTATTTTTTATTTTTACTTACAATAGATACTTCATCTCTATGGGTGACAATAATTTGTTTTCTGCACTGATCGGAGAATATAAATCAATAAGATGAAGAATCATGTGGTTTTTATCAGTATACTATCATCATTTGTAATATGATATTGGATTTAATTCTGTTTGATAACTTCAAGGTCAATCAATAATATCTATTCGATTTTTTCTTAGTGTTTTTTTTCAATAATAATAATTTAGTTTGATATATATAGAGTATAAATCACACTATTGTGATACTCCTACAATTTTAAGCATGCATGTCTTGAATAAACGGACTCCTAGCATATTACTAGACATGCAAACTCATTTTCTTTCCATTATATTAAGTTACTAGAATAAATCCTATGTTTTTGTTTTGATATACTCTAATGGAAAAAGGATTTACGCCAAATTCATACTGAAAAGTAACCCTGGGACTCTGTATTAAAAAACGACGAAAATATTCGATTAAGGGTTCTATATGATTTACGACATTGATTCTTATTTTGTCGAGTTATCTTTAAGCAAACTTTTAAAAATAAATGGACTTTTTCATATGGTTTAGCACGTAAATTGATCGTAAACATTTAATAAACCTTATTTATGATTTGCGTATTTGCCACCAACATTTATAAAAAAAACAGCCACATACTAGTTCATATGTTGTTGAAAGCTATCTCGTGCCTCTCATCTATCTTTCTCTCTTTTTCAATCGCTTTGCTGGCATATGTCAGCAAAGTGATTCAAAAAGAGAGACAAATAGATTAAAAAAAAGACACCGCCCTGAGCAATATATGAGCTGGAATGTAGCCACATTTTATGGGCGTTTATAACCAACAAGTGAATTTTAAAATAAGACCCAGTGATGAATTCATGTAAATCTTGAATTCTAAATTAATGTCTATGCAAAAAGACTTTTGTATGAGTTACAATTTGATATATGTATCTCAAATATAAGCAAAACTGGAGTATTACAAATGTTATCTTGTATATATTCAAATTTGATTTCATCATTGATACTTTTCTGAACGAATATTAAATTGAATTTTTTATTGAATAAATAAAACAACAACAAGTTATTTACAAATGGTAAAACTTCAATGCATTTTATGTATATGAAGTGAAATTTCAATTATTTAATATTTAGAGAAGCATGATCATGCCGCTATTGATTAATGAGTGTTATATTTTTCTGAAATTAATGTCTATTCGGAAATTAAAGATACTCGATTAAAAATTGAATAACTCAAGAACGGTAAATCTTAGCGATTTGTCCTTTTCAGCATAGAAAGAGCACAGTGGGGGACACTAGTCAATATAAGATACAATGGGATTCAATAGTGATGAAGGTTAGAAAAATATGAACCTTTGAAAAAAATAGCTTGAACTCATAGTCCATAGAATCATTTTTTTCTTCTTTTAATAAAAAATAATAAAAAAGTATGAACCAGTTTTAATGATCGTTCAGAAAATTCTAATCTATAAATATTATATAATAATATTATCGATATGCTCGAATACGACATATTTCGCACTTTAGATTGTTTTTCAATCCATATTGACTCTTGTCATTCGCTTTAGGAGGATTGATAACCTGTATGTATGTATTATTCAAGAGCAATTTCACATTATTAGAATATTTCAATGAAGGACTGCATAACTTCTTCATACTGGCCTTCAAACTTTCGACTATCAAATAATTGATAGCTGAATATTGTGTGCTATTGATAGGTGGCCGGTCATCATTATAATCCATATAAAAGAAAAGAATCATTCTATGGACTATGAGTTCAAGCTATTTTTTTTCAAAGGTTCATATTTTTTTAACCGTCATCACTACTGAATCTTATCGTATCATATATAGACTAGTGTCCCCTACCGTGCTCTTTCTATGCTGAAAAGGACAACTCGCTAAGACATACCATTCTTGAGTTATTCAATTTTTAATCGAGTATCTTTAATTCCGAATACATATTAGTTTTTGTTATCTTTGCGAAATTCAGTCAAAAGTGCAGATTAATTTTTTTTGGGTTCTTGATTATTTAAAAAAATGTAGACAATCACTTTAAAGAAATATGTCAATAATGTTATTTTTGTCTTAGCAAAGGTTGTTAATTAAGTGTTTAAAGCACATGACAACATTTAAAAAAAATGGGTTCACAAATTCAATCAAACGTCGGACATATTTGGTACGGTAACACGTTCGCCAGGTTTAAACGGTGGTAAACCACGTAATGGACAACCAGCACATCGAAAAGCATCGCCTAGATAACACTATATAAAAAAATCAAAAAACATATTGTTTATGCTAATGTCATATTTTTGTTTCTTTTTTTCAATACATACACTTCCACATGATGATTTAACCGATTGTTTTGCTGCTGTATGTTCTTCTTGTTCAAGTTCTTGTGCTAAACCACATGTACAATTTTTACATGCTTTTCGAACACCAGTCGATGTTGTACCACAATCATATTCTAAATTCAAAGAAATTCTTGTTAACAGGAAAAAAGAAGTCAATTATTATCAGAAGAATCCAAATTGAAATGATAGCCCGAGGTCTAAACTTTCATAAACGACATGATATTTTTACTTGACACATCATTAATGATTTCCATCGCCTTCTACTTGCAAAATATTATTGCTTTGAAAGAGCATATGAGGCTGCTGAATCCATCTTTTGAATTAATCTTTTTTATTATATTATATTGGAAAAAAAGTACTTCTATAAATAGATGACTCTTGAAACAAGAATTTCTCGAGGCATTGAACATGTACATCCTTTTTTCTTCGAAAGAAAAAGGTACTGAAGTCTAACATACTCTTTTAATTGGAAAAAGAAAATTAAATCTATATAATGACAAGTTATAGAAAACAAATGATCTGTTTTTGACTCTTGTTAGTTGAATATTTTCGTCAAACACCATGGTATAAGACTGAAAATTTTACCATAGTCTTCCTCGGCTACAATGTCGACATATTGTGAATACTGCATTCGATTTGAATGTACCTGAATCAAGATCGATTTCTACAGGAGCAGAGGTTCAAAAGTCCCTCCTCTTTCTGTATTTTACAATCAAATGTTTTTGATTTTTGGTGTTTCATTGCTAATATACCTTCGAAAGGTCCTCAGATCAGTGTCATATAAATGATTCTCTGTAGGCAGAATTCTCTCAACAATTATTTCTCATTTCAAAAGTGCTAAGAACATAGGTCATGAATTTCTAACACGGCTACGCTTCGATCATTTTGGTTGAAGAAAAAAGTCCTGAGACATACAAGAAAATTTGTTTTTTCGATTTTCTTGAAATTAAACTTTGATACAAAAACAAGTGTAGAATCGCTTCTCATTTCTTCTACATTGAGCATTCGCTCGACCTGAAACTTTTTTTTTACAAATATTGGACACTATTCGAGCTGTCTGCCTTTTGTTTTGTTTTGAAAAAATTTATAAAGTTAATTTTTGAAGGTACGCTCAATATTTCAATTTTTTTATTTGAATGGATGATGCTTAAAACCATAGACATCTTAAACAATGTTTACTATTTAACACAGAAATTCTAATTCTATGGGAAGTATTACTGGCTGAAAAAGCGAGACGATTTTTAGCCTTTGCGATCTATGACAAGTTTTGATTTACTCAATGAGATCTATCTATTGTGCAAGTTTCAAACATTTCTAAAAAGTTATTCTTCAGAAACTTTGAAAAGGCTGAAGGATCTTCTTAAGAAAAAAATAAATTTACTTTTAACATCAGGTTTTTTTCGATCATTTTCATCTAATAATTCATCTGTATCAATTAAATCATCATCTTCCATTGTCCATGTTTTTTTTCCACCAGCTGCTGTTGATGATGATGATGTTTGCCCCATACGACTATCAGTTGCATTTCGTAATGGTACTGAGTAACCAATGTCAAATGATGGTTTTTGACATAACCATAATGAACCAAGTTTTTTAACATCATCATTTTTATTTTCAATTAAAAACGATGAATTTGTATCTAATGGATTACAACTACTAAAACCACACATTTTAAATTGATCAATTGTTTGCGATTGTTTTGTATGTTCAACATGTGTTATAAGATAACCATTTGGACGAAGTAAACGAAATAATTCATTTAAAATATCAATCGTTATTCGTGTATCTCGTTTACTTACAAGACCAAAAAGTATTATATCAAATGCTGATGATGAACGATGAGCTATTATTGTTTATAGAAATAAAATTACATATTTAGTTTTTTTCTTTTTTTTACAAAAGATTTTTTTATTGAACTTACACTCAAAAAGCATATCCACGTTTTCAAAGGCAATACTAGCTTGTTTTGCTTTGGTTTGTATTGTTTCTTGAAAGACTGGTAAATTTTCTGGTTTAACATCAGGAGCCCAGATAACCAGAATATTTTTAGCATGAGCAAAGATTTCGTCCATTATTAATATTATTATTATTCAGTTTTTCTTTGATACAATAATCTAAAAATTAAAAAAAAAAGATTTGTGAATACTCAATTCTACACTTGTAATTAAAAAACAAATTATTAAATAGTTCTCCTACTACAAACATAATTATTAAGAATGAATGAGTATGAAATGAGAGCTTATCTTTCAATTCTTAAACAATCAGATTTCTAACGATAATTAAACAACTAATAATTAAAAATGACTTTAGAATAAATTGAAATAGAATCTCAGATCGTTATGCTGATCAGTTCTCTAAACCGATGACACATCAGGCTTATCAGACAGGGATAACTATAAATGTTTACATCATATCAGCATCGACCGGGATTCGAACTTTTTATCAATTCATTCATATCATTTAACCATTCAACTAAATCTTTCATATTAATATAAAATAAAAACTCAAATAAATAACATATGATATATTTATATATCTATATGTATATGTTTTTTCTTTTCTTTTCTTTATTTCAATGAGAAAAGAACGCATAAATTGAGTCTATATTAGAGAAGATGAAACACACAGACGTGTACAGTACAAACATAAAGACAAGAAAGAGCAATGGATGATGAAAGCAAGAAATAGGAAACAAGAGAAAAAGACAAATGTGTGCATATTGTTGAACCAAATAACAAAACGAAAAAAAGAGGAACGTCGTCATTAAAGACTAGACACAAAGACAAAGCAGGTGAAGGAGAAATGAAACGAAAAACAAACAAAAAAGAAAAAATAAGTCTTTTGCTCTTTCTGTTTTTATTCCTTCGATAATCAGCACCAATACAATCTATTCGGATTTGCTTGCTAACGGATTTTTGTTTTGTAGACGTAGTAGAATTTTCTGTGTGAGTTTTCTTTTTCGGTCACAAAAAAAAACAGAGAAAAAAAAAGGTAACGAATTATCTACTCATCTATATTTACACCCTCAGCCTCAACACATACATACATTTATATATTTATACATATATAAAGAAGAAAAAAAAAAAAAAAAAAGAAAAACGTTTATAAGAACAATGACAAAACTGAATATAAGAGACCAAAAAAAAACAAAGAAAAAAAAAAATGTAAAGAAATCGGCCGATGTTAATAAATCGACAAAATATTAAACACGCAAATTTTTTAAAGCATTTATGCGTGTGGATGTTTGTTTTTTTTTATAAAGAAAATAATAATCAGGAAAAAAATATATGTATATATGTATATGTATCAAAAACAGAACATATTCTTTTATTGTTATGTAATAAATAAAGTATATGGTATGGGATACTATTCTCGTATCTTTTGTATATTAGAATTAATTTGAACCGTCATTCATCGTCAATTGAGCTGTTCGAGCCAAAGAATTTGTTGTTGTACGTTTTGGATATGAACGTAAATATTCATCATCAGCTAATTGATTTACATCAGGTCGGTCACGAACATTATATGTTAAACATCGTCTTATGAACGTCTACAGAAAAAAAAACAACAGAAAAAAAATTTTGAAATAATTAAATTTTGAATATTTACTTTAGCTCCGTCGGATACAATTGGTTTGGCTGGAAATTCAATATCTTTAGCTTTTAATATAGTTTGATTTTCAAGTATGGCGGCTTGAGATTGATTATGACCATAAGGTTTTCGTCCATATAAACATTGAAAAAAGATACAACCTAAACTCCATACATCAACTTTTGATGAGATTTTAGGCGGATTTGGTCCTTGAACAAATACTTCAGGTGGCAAATACCTATTTTATTTAAAAAAAAAAAAAGAAAAATGAATTAATTAAGAAGCAGCTCATGAGAGAATCAAGACACTAGTCAAAATTTCAACTTTTCATTTTTTTTCATTTGTATTCGAAAGATCATCATCTAAAACCATCAATTCCAATTTTATAGTGCATTTGAATATTCTATAGTCAACTTATGAGGGAACATCCCCAACTGTCTGACGCCGTTTGAGCCCATACTTTGGCTATGAGTAGGAGTCAACGAAACTAAGAAAATCCTAAAAGGGTTTGGGTCCATGCTTTACCCAGCCAGAGTTATGACCGTATTAGTGGGTTTTCAACCTCTAGGTCAGCTATTCATGATCAACTAAATTACGAGATTTTCATTTGAAATTTTGCCCATAGAAAGGTCTTACAGCCACTAGAATATTCTAAAAATTTCAACTCAAATCAATGTATCTTTTATGAGATATCGAGTATCTAAAACAACTCGATTCTATGACTGGCTTTGGGGTGTATAAGCGTTCTTTGGATATTCGATATCTTCAGAAGAATATATGGGTTTGAGCTGAAATTTTTAGAATATTCTAGTGGCTGTAAGACATTTCTATGGGCAAAATTTCAAATGAAAATCTCGTAATTTAGTTGGTCATGAATAGCTGGCCTAGATGTTGAAAACCCACTAAAACGGTCCTAACTCTGGCTGGGTAAAGCATGGACCCGAACCATTTTAGGATTTTCTTAGTTTCGTTGAGTCCTACTCATAGCCAAAATATGGGCTCAAACAGCATCCGACATTTAGAGATGTTCCCTCGTTAGTCTAGATCGACTTTTTAACTACTGCCTAGCTACTACCTTGAAAATAATGATAAATTGTCTCATAAACATCTACTAGGATTATTTTTTCACAAATAGAATTATATAATCTAACATGAATACAAAAAGGTCATGATTTATGAGCTCACTACTGTCAACTTTTGTGAGTATATCTGCTAGCATTTTTCAAAGTCAAATTACTCCAAGATAAATATTATATACATTACATAACTTTTGATTCTCAACAAAAATGATAAAAAGTTTACCTTCACCGTAAAATATCATCAACATTTTTCTCCTCGATATCGATTTTTTAATAGAAAACAAAACTTTTTCGCAGTTTTCATTGCCGTGTTACAATTCTAAGACAAAATAAATGTAACATTTGCAATAAATCGTCAAAAACATTTTAATGAGTTTTTTTTCTATGAAAAAATCACCTGTACTCCCCCTACGGTTGTACATTATTTCAGTTTTGCCCCATAGTCTCGTAAGAGTAGTTTTCCACAGAAAAAAAGTTTCTCTAAAATGTTTTTGACGGTGATTCTTAATGTCACATTTATTTTGCCTTGCAATTATATCATGGTAATGAAAATCACGAAAAATGTTTTTTTTCTGTTGAAAAATTCATACGCAGGAGAGAAAGAAGTAAATCAAAATTTATCCTGAAGATAAACGTTTTTGTTTCAATATTTCTTTTTTATCATTTTGTAGGCAAACACAAGTTGAATAATATATATAAAATTCAGTTTGGAATAGTTTGATTTTGAAAAATAACGATAGATATACTGGCAAAAATTGATAGTTGTGAACACATAAATTATAGCCTTTTTTCATTCATGTTCGATTATATAACCTCAGTGAATAGATGGTATACATTATTTAAAATAGCTCATTGTGTTCGACTTTTCATGCTCTATATTCTAACTAGATATTAGGCAAACAATGGTAAAAAGTCTATCAAGACTAACTTTATTATAGAATATTCAAATAAGCTAAAAACTTGGATTTGATGATATTAGATGATCACTTTTCATATGCACATGAAACTGCTAAAAATTAAAATTTCCGTCAGCACTTCGGTTCTCTTATCTCTTAATTTCTAAAGTAGAAAAAAATTTTTTTTTTTTACCAATAAGTTCCAGCTCCTTGCGATGTTAAATCCATTCCATGTTCAGGATCATATGTATCTTCACACATTTGTTTACTTAAACCAAAATCTGTTATTTTAATTTCACCACTACTTGTACCCGAACCCAAGAGAATATTTGCCGGTTTAAGATCAAAATGTATTACAGGTGGCTTGATACCATTATTTAAATAACGTAATGCACTAACAGTTTGCATGACAACAGAACGTGCTTCTTTTTCAGGTATAACTTTATGTTGTTTTAAGAAAAAGTCTATATCATTTCCTTCAATATATTCAAGAACAGTGCAGAATCTAGAATAAAAAAAAAATATATAAAAAAACAAATGAAATTTTTTTTTTATGTTTTGATTTCTTACGAATCTGTATCGATTTCAAATACATCATAAAGACGAACAATACGAGGATGATCAAGTGTCTTAAGAATGTCACATTCACGTAAAGCATGTCTTAAAAAATAAAAATGAAAATATACAATAAAATTATTAAAAAAAGAAAAAAAAAAAAACAAGAATATTTTTACTTGATATAATTTGCTTTCTTTTCTTCTTTCCATTCTTTATTAAGTTGATGAACTTTAACAGCAACATAACGTTGTTCTTTTAAACAGAAGGCCTTCAAAACAAAAAAATTAATATAATTATTTTCATATTAGGTTTGTTCTTGGTATTGATTTTACCTTATGCACTTCGCTAAATCCACCTTTACCAATCAGACTTAAAAGTAGATAACGATCATTAAGTACAGGATGATCTTGAAATCTAGATAAGAAAATTATAGATTATTAATATAAACATTCTATATAGTTTTCATGCAACATTTCAATGATTAGAATTATCTATACCTATTAATCGGGAAAGATTTGGTCTAATCAAAAGAAAATAAAAAAAAATTCTACAAGATATACTGCGTGAGACAAAATAATTATAACATTGAGTATTATTACTAATATCACAAATTTCTTAATGTTAAATTAATATACGCTATGAAATTCTCTACAAGTATGACAAATGAAAAATTCCATTTAATTTGTTTTAATGATTTTCTTATAAGACTAAAATTGAAGCATTGCATGACAATGAAATATTCCATTATTTAAAGAGAATTAGATATAAAAATAACCTCAAAAAAAAAAATCAGAATAGAGCAAGTGCAAACTTTATCAAGTACGAGTACGTACTTATGCTTGTTCAGTTATGAAAAAAGTCTTTTTTTTTTTTGTTTTGTTTCAAATGAAAGTTTGTATGACATACTTTAAAACACAAATTCAAGTTTATCAATCTGTTTAATGGAAA